AAATGCATTACATACATTTATCTATCCATTTTCTACACCCGCTTGTCCTGTCAGGGTCACCTGCGAGAGGCGTACACCTTTAACAGGTCGCCCGTCCTACACACAGCAATACGGAGAGACAAGCTCCTTCCCATCAATCCGATTTCTAACTCCCTCTACATAGAATCCATCATATTCACATTAGGACATTAAAGAATGAATATTACTTCCAGTCAAAGGAAGCATGTTGGTAAAACTTAAAAGATTCCTTTAACATAAATCTGCTAAGAGAATGAATAGTATTGTTCTTCCATGTAAAAATAATTGGTTAGCATGTCATTTAGTGAATTATGTGTTTGATATGCCATTAAAGCATGACTTAGAACTTAGCCCTCTTGCCAAAGCCTCAAATGTACACCACTGTTCCCATCTGAACTGGGGACTCGTGAAATCTGCGTCTCTGTCCACAGCAAAGCCCCTCTCACATGTCCACGGGCTGAGAGAGCGCCATGCCAGAAAGAAGCCTGCGCTCCAAAACCTTCAAGCTGAACTGAAATTTCCAGCTGCCCAAAAGCAAGAACCAAATGCCTTCTGGTGAAAAGTTTGCTGGCCAAACGAGCCAAAGTTTGAGACGTGTTCAGAGGAGTCGAGGTAAGACTTTTAACTCGTTCATCATTCATTGCCAGAGAGCATTTATTTTGAACATATAAGCCAAAATGTAATTAATGGTCAACCATCAAAGGTCAACCAGGTCACTTCACATCATCAAAACCAAACAAAACGAAGCAGTACTAATGATTTGTGTAAGGATAAGAACAATGTGCCACAGCACAGTTATCCTCCCCCACTCCACAGCTGCGTGCCCTCAGACTTGGCACATGTTTTAATGCCAGATGCCCGTCCTAAATCAACCCCCCTGACCATCCTAAGAAAGGACTAGCATTTGAAACATGGACATCCATGGTCACAAACACATGCTGCACCACAATGTTTTGCCTATGGTTGCAACTACAATGCTAGCGACACAAGCAAAAATATTTTACTGCTCAAAGCAACACTGTCCAAGCACAAAAAGTTGGCTATTTTATAATACAGTAATACAAATGGAAACTTGGTGCTGCAACGGGGACAATGATCCCAAACTCACTTTTGAAATGATGGAAATGGATAGATTAAATTTTGAGAGAACAAAATGTATTTATGTTGCAATCTTTAGAAATCACATCAAACAATACTTGATTTATTTTTAATAACAAATCGAGCACAACACTGGTTCTGGGGTTAGTTCTCATGTTAGACCCTGAATTATTCAAAAGGTGTTCAATAAAGCCCCACCTAGAAAAAAATATATATATTGCTAAAATCATGATCAGATATGTATGAGTTACTAATTGCAGAAGGCTGTTTTACACTGTATGTTGATGCACAACGGTCAACTGGCAAGTTGTACTAATGTTCATACAACCGTGATTTATATAAAATATTCCCAATCTGAAAACAACACATTACCAGTATGTACAGAAACAATATCTGCAGAATTAAAAAGAACAAAAAATAAAATAAATAAATGCAGTTGTCTGGTCACGATTTAGTCATTAATCATAACCCTCTGTATGTATGCGAACAGGTCCATGTTAGAAACGTGCGACATATGAGACTCATCGCTACCGAAGTATTAGATTCATTTTGGCACCACTAAGCATTTTAATACGATTGTCACTAATATCATTCATATTGGCAAAATTTCCTCTTGAGTGGTTGAATATTCTCATACCCGGTAAGCCTGGGGGCTTTTTTCTCTCTCTCTCTCTCTCTCTCTCTCCCCCCCCCCCCCCCCCCCCCCCCCCCCCCCCCCCAAAGGGTAATGGCAATATTGCACGTCTTTTGAGGTTATGCAAAGCACCTCAAATTTTCTCTCCCAACAGCTCTCCCTCAGAGCAGCCGTGGCAAATATAATTAAATGCCCGGCTAACGGTCTATCCTTCCTTTTCACAGACAACCTCGCGCGCGCACACAAACAAACATCACACGCAAGACCACCTCTCCCCGCCTCCGCCGTTTTCTGCCCGACTATCACTCAGCTGCAGCGCGCGAAGGAAAGAGAGGGCATTGATCTGCCAAAGTGAGCAGCCATTTCACACAGTGAGTCTATGCAGCACTCCTGTCCCTCAAAGGGAATTGCTCATTTCACCTGGCTGACTTGCCTATAGCAGACCGGTTGGGAAGCCCCCACCGGGAACAGAGGGACAGGGTGGGAGTGCGGGGGCAGGAATCGCGGCCCTGGTCAGAGCTTGGCAGGTGGCAGATAAGAGCTCCTCGTGCCGCTCCTGTATGAACTCGCCACTGCCGCTGGAGCTCGGCTTCTCACACACACACACAAAAAAAACACGCGTGCGCACACGCACGCACGCAGCGTCTCCCCACAGATGTGAGGAACTAATAATAACTTAGGCATTCTGGGTGAGTCAGCCGTCTTTCCTCAGGCAAGGATAAAAGTAAAACATGGTGCCTTTATTGAGTCTGAATTCACTAACTGTGGAATTCCCAGAACAGAGCATTAACTCAGCCTGTGTTGCATTCACTGCCAGCACGCCATGTGTCCACAAGATCTAATATAGTCTCCAAAGCAGGTGCTGATAAACTAATAAACAGCCCAGTAAACTAGTTATATTCACATGGGCATCTTACTGTACGGGAAATAGGAGCTAAGGAGGGCTTTTCTTGTTGTTGTTGTTGGGACACCTTGGGATCTGTTCATGTAAATATGATTTAGATGTTACAAATTTAACAGAATCAACGTCCTCTTACTGTATATCGAGCTATATCTCGCAGTAAACAACATAATCAAACCTACAGATGTCTTTCTATTGTGGAAAACGGAAAGAAACATGGATATTTTGGAAATAGACAAAGTCAAATTTATCATATAAATAGCTTAAATTCTAAGAAAAAGGGTCGACTTTTACGTGCAGATGTCTGTTTCCGATTGGCTCAGTTGTACTTTTGAATGTCTAACATACTTAAAAAATATTTAATCAATAATAATTACTACAGTAATTATTATGTTGTGTAGGAGCATCACTTATTGTCAGTAATGATAAAGTATTGCGTTTTAATGTGTTTACTTTTTTTAAATTGCAGATCCACCCAATAAAGTAGAAGTTAAATTTCGTTATTTTCCAAAAGTGTAAATATATTCTAGATTTCAGAGTGATACACAAACCAGGAGTAAAATTTGCTGACTTTTTACGTTCATATGAATATTCTAGAATAAGCTTCACAATATCCTTGTTGATTGTAGCCACGCTTTTTTCCTTCCGCTCAATTTTACATTATTCTAACATGTTTTTAGAATAATAATGCTTTAATTTAACTTTCCTTTGCTACGCTTCCAAATGAACCCAAAGCAACTTCTAATGACATTTCTTAACATATATTTCTCCCATAGCTTTTAGACAATAATTGCTACCCAACCAAACAGGACCCTGAAAATAAATGCGTAAATAAAAGCGCCTGACCAACTGCAGCAACTACACTGCCTCTCTTCTGACCCCGATGTGCCCATCACTCTGGAAGAGGGTAAATCTAGATTAATCAGATCACATAACCTTCTTACGTCCAATTTTTATGCTCCCTTGTGATTTGAGGTCTTTTTTTCTGCCTAGCCTCGCTGATTAGTGTTTCCTTATGGTCGCACAGCCGTTTTCTCAATTTGATGTCACCAAGTGTTAAAGTGATCCCTGAATAAATCACTGAGGATTCTTTTCCAACCGCAATTATTCCTCAAAGATAATGCTTCTTCACTATCCTTCCAATTTTTAATAAAGCGTTGGACAGTTCTCAACCCCAATGTTGGTAGTTTCTGCAATCTCGTTAGATGTTTCTGATCTACACCTTTGCCACGCTTGGTCTCAAACAGCCTTGCATCTTTTCCTCGACCGATGTGGAAAAGACGTAAAGCTGCTTAGGAAATAAGAAGCTACATGTTGCATCGGTTAAGATTAAATAACTTGCTGCCAGCTTGTTGTAGTTACTCCTACTGCAGTAACTATCCAGTAGGAGGATCATACCACTTCCCTTAGTTAAATTCATGTGGCCTCTTTTTGGCCAGACATTGTATTTTAACAATACTATATTCACTTTCTGAGCTAAGGCAAATCTTCACCATTGTAACTTAATGAATCCAATATATGCTTAGCAAAGTATATTAAAATAAATCTACCTATTTCAACATTTTGAGCATTTTTTTTTTTTTTTTACATATTCACCATCACATTAGCTGAACTGGTTCAAGCCAGATCTAAGCGACATCTAAGTGAAGCCTCCAGCCTCTCAGTATCTCACAGTCGCCTTTCCCTCTCCAAGCCTCCCACCTCCCCATCCTTCATGTGTCCGAAACACATTCCATCCAGCCACTTCATTCCCCCACTTCATCCTTCACGTGTTCTCAAATTTATTTCCCCCTATCTCCCTCCGCTGGTCAACCCACTTCCCTCCCTCCATCTAGCCTATCTCTGCGCTGCTCTCCTTGCTCTGTGACAGTCTCATCACACTCTATCAATCAAGCTTTCTGAGGCCTGGGCGCGCGCCGCGGCACGCCTGCATCGCACAATCCCGGCCCGGTCCCATCAGTGCCAGTCAGTCTCCCTCACTGCCTCAGTCACTTTAAAAAAGGTTTAGGTTGCCAGATATAGCCCCCTCCTGCCAACCCCCCCCTTACTGACTCCCCCCACACCCCCTCTGCCCCCCTTTACACAGCTGCAGGTCAGGGAGGGATCGAGCTCGAGTCGAGAGATTTGGCTCAGCTCTTGATTGGACATCACTTGACATATTCTCTGGGTTGTCTTGGCACTCGAGATGGGCAATTCCTCTTTATAACAAAGATGGATACTCGCAGACGAGATCAGCCTAAATCCTCGGCTGATGCTAATAGGAAGCAGCAGCGAGCACCCTCCAAAGAATGGCAGGAAACGTACGCAAACGGATCAAAACAGCGAGTCGGGGTTATCCCTGGTCCTCACCTGGCCTCAGGCCTCATCCTGTGGTTGACATCTCAGGAAAGAGAACTGCATCAACGAGAAGAGACAAAGAGGAGCAGGGATTAAAGTCCTATTCAGGCTTCCTAAAAGAAAATATATATATATATATTAAAGACAGTGTAATCTTCAAAATTATTATTCTCTTGTCCTTCCCATTTTGAACAGGGGATAAAGAAATGTATTATTTTAATTTCCTGAGGAAACACTTTCTGCACTGTAGAATCTATTCAGAAATTAGAGAAATACCTAAATTGTATGTAATTATTGTGAATTAGTAGAGGTGCTAATAAGTGGTATAAAACACATCTGTCAGCTTCTCTTAATGTACAGAAATAAAACGTTGGATTTTTCCAGATGAGATAATGCTGCTCTGACGGTACAATTTACACATCAGGGAAGCCGATGAATGATGAGGACGTCCTGTTGGCCTATGCTTGAAAATAACTGAAAATACAATGTTCATTCAGTTTTGCACACTGAAGATAATTTGTGCATTAAAAGATGTTGTTCACTTAGTCGGGGCAGTTACGCTTGCGCTATAAAGTAAAGAGATGCAACAAGCAAAATAAACAGTATTTGGCCCCAATAGTGATTCCACAAGAATATTATTTACAATATTTGAATTTACTTAATTTGAAAGAACAAAGGAATCTTATCAACCCAGAACGGCCTTCTCAAATTGTTTTCATTCTACTATTTTAGACAACTTTGATACCATAAAGTGGTCATATTGCAGACACATCTACTATCTTACAAAAGGATTGATGCACATACACACCACTTCTCGTCATGTTTCAAACATGTATTTTAACTGTGATTTTATGTAAAGTAACAGAACAAAGTAACAGGACAAGAAACTTTTCCTTTCCTAAGTGAAAGAAAAAGTTCCTGGATAGTGTGTCAGTTTAAGTCAAGTCTTGCCATAGCTTTTCAATGACTAAACCATTTGAGATGTTCTTGTTCATCTGTGGGACCATCGCCCACCACACTGGACGAAGTTCAGTGTTTTAGTCCAACAGCGGCCTTCTTCTTCATACTTCCTCATGGCTCCTCAAAACTATCCACCCTGTTTTCAGGCTGAAAATCAGCTTCTGGAAGACTGTTTAACAGCATAAACAGTCTCCAAATCCTGACCAATCACGCAACAGCTAAGAATGCAGAAGGGAGGGCGAACAGTTTGCCAGAGGGCTTGTGAGAGGAAGAGGCGGACGACGCGAGGCTGGAAAAAAAAAAATGATGTGATTTTCGTCATGCCGCTGTGACGACGAGAAACCGATTTCGGCACATCGGTCAAATCACACGGAGCCCCTTGGAGCTCATTTTTCCTTTCCGAGAGTTTCAGACAGAGAGAGCAAACAAAGTTTCACATTTAACCTGCTGACAATAATCGAAATACTTGGTTTTCCCTTTTTTTTCAGAATTTCTAAGTTTCTGGATTTCGTCTCTGTTTCAGTTTCGTTACTTAAACGTCAATAGCCTAAATATTCATGTAATTAGTAATAATTTAATTATTGATTCTGTTAAGGACTAGATACAATACAATGATTCAATTTCAGTCGAGGTGTTAATATTGTGGTTCTAAGAGCAGATATGATTTTATTATGCATCCATCTTGTTACTTTCTATACGATATGCCGCCAAAGCTTAATGATTAAGTAACGTAATTTACCCTTAAGACTGATTGATAGATTAGGGACTGAAGAAAACTATGTTTTATTAATGAGACCAATAAGATAATTGACACATAAACATGAGTAAACTCATCTGTTGCTGCATGCAGTTCTCTACGATTTACAGCTCTTTAGTATTTCCCAGGTGAGAGAGGATCTTGAATGCAGCAGTCTAATACTTTCTGAAGTGATTCTGAGTGGGGGAGGAAGGCATTCTCTTGAAGAAGAACAGCTAATCAGACTAAGCTCTTCAATAAAACACTTTTTTTTTTGTCGGGAGAAAGTGACGGGTTTTAAAACTACACATTAGTTGATTCGTTGCCATTTCTCTTTAATGTAATAACCTCATGTCCAATGATTTGTGTTATCACGTCAAAGTTCACCTACCAACATGAGTTTCTAACTCCATATCGTAGATGTTTCAAGATAAATGAACAAAGATTTGGTTTTGTTCTTTTTGAGGCTCTTCATACAACAAAATGTATTGTTGTTGCTCCCTAAGGCTAAGTCGGGTAATGGCCACAGGGTCTCCACATTGACCAACAAGCTGTTTTAATATTTAAACCATCATCTTCGCCTCTCTAATATGTAAATGACTATAATTAACCGGGTAAGGATATGGGCTGCTTTCTGGCCCCTCCAGCCTGACCTCCCTTGTTTTGTTGAGTTCCTTACTATCACAGTGCTTTTGAATGTGGTCTGTCATGCTAATAAATTTGCAAATTAAATTGTGGAACGGAATAATAAGGCAGTAGTCGTTTCAATGCAGTAAGGAATACTCAATTAGGCTGGATTTGGCCTCCGTAATTATTACATTATATAGCAAAGATAAGTGTTCAATGGCAACAAACGCTTTGACGGACTCGGCCGGCCAAGGACGAAAATGCCAAAGACATAAGAGGGAAAAGGTGCAATGGAGAAAAAAAAAAAAAAAGAGAAGAAGGCAAGGAAGAAAGTGACAAGAAAGCTATCGCAAAGGGAGCCTCTGTCTGCAGCAGCCATATTTCATTACACAGCACCGAAGCTTAGGAGGCAATCAAGCATATTTAACCAAGCTCGTATTGTCCCTCCCTCCCTACACCCTCGCAGAAAACCAACAACCCCAACCCCACTCCAAGCAATTATTACTCCAGAGTTTTTTTTCTCTTCTTACTTTTTTTTTTTTTACTGTGCTTTGCCATGGAGAAAATGAACTGCAGTACTTATCAGCTCAATGCATACACAACTGACTGGGGTAGAGGACATGTAGGCATGCATACTGTATATGTGTGCAAGCATGGGCATGCTCTGATGCTTTCGTTTATGCTTTGGGGATGGGGGGGGGGACGCTGCATGAGCGTGAGCAGGGGGCGAGCTGACCACCGGTGAGCAATAGGTTACCTTTTTAGATCCCATTAGCTCTGTAACATCAGCACTTTAAGGC